AGGGCTAACGTGCGAGTACAGACATGCCAATGGGCCAGTGGGGAAGGTGATGTTCAGATAAAAACAGAGCAGCCAGCTCTGTGTCAGGTTGGTCCTGCTAAAATATTAAACTAAGAATAACTCCGTTTGGGTGCGCGAAGGGCAGGGTCTGTCCCCTGACAGGGCCCCGTGAGGGGAAGCATGGGGCAGGAATCCTGTGCTGAACGTCTCAGCTCAGGAAGGTGGCAGGCCGGCCCTCCCTGGGGAAGGCGTCTGTGCTTACCCAGTGGGAGTCTCAGTCCGAGCTGTTCCTCTCCGGCCCTGGTCTTTGGGGTGAGCAGGAGCTGAGAACCCTGGTGAGGACACAGAAGCAAGTTGGGAAAGGGGTCACCCTCGCTGGGGACCCCCAGGCCCCTGGCAGGAAGGCGACAGCAGCAGCACAGGGAGGAGCCGCGCCAGCCCCTCCAGCAGCCCAGCCAGGCCAGTGCTGTTCTCCTCGAACCCCAGGGAGGGCAGGAGGGAAGGGGGAGCTGCCAGATGTCAACCATGGATTTCAGAGGGTGGTTGGAAATTTTCGGACACCCTGTGTGGCTTCAAAAGATCCCTGAACTTGAGGAGCTGAAACGGACTGAGCAGGGTCACCCCCTTGCTCCTGTGTTAACTGTCCCCTCCTTTCTAAACCCAAGTGACCACTCTCCTCACCGATGTCCCACCAGTTTATTATGAATCCCCTCTCAGCCTTCATCACACCCTCATGCATGTGTTTGCCCTCTGTGCACCCCAACATAAGATCCTTGAGGGCGGCTACTGGTCTTCAGGGGTCTCTATAGCTCCCCATTTCGCTTCATTTACTGCCCTGCACAGAGCAGATGCTCATGGCGAGGACTGTGTGAGGGGCTCTGGCAACAAGAGGAGCTGAAGTTCTGAAGGAGGCCGTTCGAAGGCCCTCCCAGGCTGGTTGGAAGGCTCCCGGGGGGTGGCGAGAAACACATAGGGTCTTGGAGTTGGCGTGTAGTTCAGCCAATGAGAGGGAGTGGGTGGAGGAGGCATTCTGGTGGGCAGACCTGCTGGGGGAGCCATGGGGTGGGGACTGAGCCCCAGGAAGTCTCTCACAGGGTGACTCCCAGGTTGAGATGCCCTTGCAGGCTCGCACCTGTGTCTGCCAAGGGGCGAGGGTGAGATGCAAGGGCTCTGGTTACAGTCATGAGCCGGGCAGGTCTCAGGGGTGCAGCTCTTCCAAGAAGCCGGCTTTTGAGGAATCCGCCTGGCCGTGGGAATCACGATTGTTTGCACTGGCTTCAGCTGTTGATTAAACCTCCATCCGTGCAGCTAGCACCCCAGGAAGAACACTCTCTTCCTCACAGTGTGTCCCAGCTCCTGTTTTTCATGTTTATAGGCATCAGGTGGTTTGTAGAGCGATCCACACCCAGACATGCGCACCCAGTGAGGTCAGCCGGGGAAACAACAGCTGCCACCTGCTGCCGCTCATGGTGGGAGCTGCAGGCTGTGGCCACCATCAGCCCTGGGCATGCCCCTCCTTCCTGCCTGCCCCGCCGCCCCCACCGCACCCAGTGCTTCGCCTCTGTCCCTGCTCCAGCCTCGCGCCTGCCCAAACTGTTGTTTATCAACACAGACCAGAACGTTCTGCTGCCAGCAGAAACACACATGGCGATGGCGCTGCCACCCCACACCCTGCCGTCAACACACTCCCACGTGCTGTTTGCCACTGTCAAAGCTGTGCTCAATCACACTCCCTGGCTCCTGCCAACACAGCTGTTCCTGCTGCTTGGAGTCGGGCCCTCCTTCTCCCACGTGTTCTCTATAGGTTTTCTACGTGTACGTGTGTACTCGTGGCAGAGGCTCACATTTGGGGACCAGGCCAGCACATGCTCTGTGCTCGGACCTGGGCTGTCAATCTCCTATCTTGCAATTGTGTGACCTTGGGCAATTGACCCCTTTGGTCATTAGATGCCTTATCTATAGAATGGGAATGATAATGACCTCCCAGGGCCTCTCCCATAGGCTCAGGGGGTTAGGCAAGAGAGCAAACAAACATCCAGGAAGTGCTCCACCAGTAGGGACTCTGATGGTGGTCATGAGGAGTGTTGTCGTATCCTCTCTAGAGTCTGGCCTTTGGTTTTCCTTTCCCAAGGCCTGGTGTTGTCCGAACCTCACATTCACACCTTCCTGGCTGTGTGACCTTGAGCAAGGCAGTCACCTGTTCGCTTCTCCTGTCCTCACTGGTGACTGAGCCCACAGGCCTGCTGTGAAGGTCAAGGGGAGAGCGGGCCATGGTGCTTTGGAGGCCTATTGAAGGGGTTCAGAACAAGTCCTCCTGAAATGTGCCGCTTTAGCTAAAAGCAACCCAAACCCAGCAGATTCAGGAAAAGGTCTCTATCTCCCCTTCAAGGATCTACATTTGCATTGGAAAGGGGCCCGTAGCAGGAAAGGAGCTATTCGGTAGGACCTTAGACCGGAGGGAGAGCGGGCCATGGTGCTTTGGAGGCCTATTGAAGGGGTTCAGAACAAGTCCTCCTGAAATGTGCCGCTTTAGCTAAAAGCAACCCAAACCCAGCAGATTCAGGAAAAGGTCTCTATCTCCCCTTCAAGGATCTACATTTGCATTGGAAAGGGGCCCGTAGCAGGAAAGGAGCTGTTCGGTACGACCTTAGACCGGAGTGGCTGGGATGGGGCCTGCCCTGGTGTCCTGAACAGGGGTTGGGCCAACATTATCTTCCAAACTACCGGCTCTCTCTAGGCGGCCCAGCAGCTAGCAGACCTCCAACGGGCAGGTTCGGAGCCAGCGGGTTCTTGGTGCAAACTCAGAGGGAAACGACCTGACCGCAATGCTACCTTACAGAGTCCTGGACTAATTATAATAAAATTTGCATTTTGGTTTTGACCCCGCCCCCATGTTTTTTTCTGTATGCATTATGGGTAAGGGCATGCCCAGAAGAAATATAGTTTCTGTCAATCATCCCTGAATGCAAATGAAAGTCTCCACTCAGAAAATCCCTCTTTTAATCCTCACCCGAGGATTTTTTCCCATTGATTTTTAGAGAGAGTGGGAGAGGGAGAGACAGAGAAACACCAATGTGAGACACATCATTGGTTGCCTCCTGCATGCCCTGGACGAGGGCCAGGAGCCTGCAACCGAGGTACGTACGTGCCCTTGACCGGAATTGAACCCGGGACCCTTCGGTTCGCAGGCCGAGGCTCTATTCACTGAGCCAAACCGGCTGGGGCAGAAAACCCCTCTTTTAAACCCAGGAGTTCCAGGCCACCATTATTCTCTCTCCTCTCCCTCTCTCCCCCCATACGAATGTGAAATTAAATTTGATTTTCTGTTTCATGTCAATTTAATTCTTAGCAGCCAGAAGAACCTAGAAGGTTCTTAGCAGCCAGAAGAACCCCCCCCCCCCCACCCCCGTCTGGGCCCCAACCGCAGGGCCTTACGGAACAATGGGATGTGAACAACACCTGGGCATATTTAGCAGCTTTCCACCTTCCCTCATCTCCTCAGTCGATCTTCAGCCGTTGTCAGTGTTTCTGGTTGGGCCCTGTGGTGGGGCTGCAGTTCCCCCAAGAGGCTGCGCTGCCCTTCTCAGCTGCATGGGGGGAGGGGGGGACAGGGGGGCTCGCCCAGCCAACCGCCCCTTCCATCAGACACTGCCGCTCTCCCCACAGGACCACCCTGCCGGTGCCCAGCCCTCTGGCTTCCGCAGAGGCTCCTGCTCCCTCTCCTCCCCCCAGAGGCTGAGTCCCTACCCCTCTCCCGTGCTCCCCTCTACAGGGCCTCTTCACCAGGACCCTGCCCAGCAGTCCCCGTTCTGTCTTATCTCTTTAACCCTGTCTTCCCGTCTCCTTGGGCAGCCAACCTGCTGTAGCCTTTTCTATGCTGAGAGACAGGTGTATGCGGAAGAGAAAGAAAACAACTGTAATTGGAGGATTGAGGACAAGCTGGGCTGAGCGGTGGGTTAGGGTTACAGAGAAGCAGGTTCTGCAGCTGGTGGACCTTCGAGTCAGACCACCTGGGGGAGGGGGACTTCTCCCCCCACTGTCACAACGTACTTCCTGTGCTTTGATGGCAACATGTGAAAGTGCTGGAGGGCAGAGCTGGCCTGGGCCCTGCTGACAGATGGAGGCTGCCCCCTTTCACTCCCAGGCTGTCAGCTCTTGCCGCACTGGGAGGCCACTGGGAATCTGTTGGCTCAGGGAAACCGGGCATGGCCTGCCTCTAACCTTTGGGGCACTGGGCAGGCGCACAAAGGAAACCCATACACCACATGCTTGAATATTCAAAATGTATAAATCAAGCTAATACGCTGTCAAATAAGATGTGTTATTTTCCTACTTCCATAAATATACCTTCGAAATGACCTGGAAAGCCAAGTTTGCATTTAGAATTTTTGAACTCTTCTGGTGGTATGATTATGTGTGCAGTGGGGTCTCTAGGGCAGTTGGCTGATTTGGCAAAAACACCTTTCAATCTGATCAGTATCTTATGTTTTTTACTTTCTCCCAGGCCAGTGTGCCCAAAAGATATGGAAGGCGAGTATTGCACAGTGGTGAAGACCTCCACCCCTGCATCTTCTGAGCCTGCCAAGACTGCACCATATCATTAATCTCTTTGAGGCTCCATTTCCACATCTGTCAAATGGGACTAATGATACCTCCCTGATAAAGTTACTTATTAAAAGAGATAACCCTTGTAAAGCTCTTTGCATGGTCCTGGAACATAATAATTGCTCAGTAAATGGTGAGCTATTATGCTATTATAATTTCTCCACACATGGGCGATGATAGCATCCGAGCAGGAAGTTGTGTGCCCCGTCTCTTCACGGCACACATGACGACACAGGTCACTCAGCTGAGCAGAGCAGACATGGAGCCAGGTCTTTCAACCTGCCCATGGTCTTCCTGGGTTTGGCTCTCGCCAAAGAGAAAAAATAGTGGCACAATGTGAATGCACTGAACACCCATGAACTATACACTTGAAAAATGATTGAAACAGTGCATGTATGGTATGCATATTTTACTGCTGTGTACATTGGCTGAGGGCTGCCATAACAACAGAAATGTAGTGTCTCCGTTCTGGAGGTTAGAAGTCCAGAATCGAGATGTCAGCAGGGCCAGTTCCTTCTGAGGGCTGTGAGGGAGAGTCTAGTTTGGCCTCTCTCCCCGCTTGCTGGTCTGCTGGCAATCTTTGGCATTCCTGCTTGTAGAAGCATCTTTCAATCTCTGCCTTTATCTTCACCTGGTGTTCGTCCGACGTGCGTGTTTCTCTGTGTGCCCGAATTTCCCCTTTTTAGAAGTACAACAGTCAGATTGAATTAGAGTCCACCCTACTGACCTCATCTTAACTAATTACATTTGCAACAACCCTATTCCCCAATAAGGTTACATTCTGAGGCACTGGGGGTTAGGACTTCAACATATGAGTTGGTGTGTGTGGGGAGGGGAGGCGGGTTACAATTCAACATAAAGCAGCCACAATAAAAATAAATTGTGGCTACCTTGTACTCAGTATCAGATTATAGGCAGGGGGAAAACACCTTCTGTGAAGTCTCCGGGCATTGCTCATAGTAGGTCTGAAACATGTGTTTCTTGACTTGTGTTAAATCTGGTTCCAAGCAGCTAAAAGGGCTTGAACCTCCCAGTTTCCACAATGAGTCCTCTCCTGGCCATGAACTAGAAAGATTAATGATTAGTATTGTTTCCAGACATGTATTTAATAAACTCTATAAAACTGGTTCTTTGGTTGGCTGAACTCAGCAGCCCTGAGGCCATCTCGTTTCCATTATTCTATCCTCAGAGAAGAGGGAGCTTGAGCTAGAGCAAGCTGCATTCTGCACTGACTTGTTTTGCATGTGAACAGCTTATTTTTATTTAAATGTTTCCCCCTTACTGTTTTACTGAGAAAGTCTTCAAACATACCGAAAAGTTGCAAGAATGTCACAATGAACACTTATGTACCCTCTTCCCCTAGCTCAACAATTAACTCGTGTGTGTGTGTGTGTGTGTGTGTGTGTGTGTAAGAGAGAGAGAGAGAGAGAGAGAGAGAGAGAGAACCATTTGGAACGAAGTTGTTGGCATTATGATGTTTCACCCCCAAATACTTCAACGTGAATTTCCTAGGAACAGGCTGTTCTGCTACATAATCACATTGTGATTCTCACATCTGAGAAAGCTAACAATAGTTCCATAGTATTATTTCATATCCAGTCCACACTCAAAGTTGACTAGGCTGACTTTTCAAAACTCCTTAATCTAAGGAATTCCAAATCTGTGAGGCTTAGGGTCTCGACAGTCTTGCCTGTGCAAAGGGACATTCTGGAGTTCTTAAACATGTGACCTGATGACAAAGCTCTCTGGGTCACCACAGGAAACTGTTTTCCTTGTTTCCTCTCACCAGCTCTTCTGAATGCTCACATGAGTGCTTGGGGTGGGGTGCTCCTGGAATGCCTCTGATTCTAAACAATGGCCTTTTGAGGGGGACCTGTTTGGCCCGGGACCTGCTAGGTCCAGGACCTCCCGGTGGGAGTCACCAAAGGGAGCAGGGTGGGGAGGGAGACCCACCTGGATGGGGGCAGAGACTCCCAGACTGAGCCATGCCCCCTCCAAAGCTGGCCAGATCCCAATCTGGCGTGGCTGCCTGCTGCCATTGTCATGGGCATTTTCTGGGGAGTTCCAGACGGCGCCACCACACAGAGGATTGTCTTGGCCTTTAAAAAGGCCACAGATCAACACTGATGAAAAAAAAAGAAAAGAAAAGCTATGCAGTAAACTTGACTGAGTTTTGGGGGCATAGTCCTCTTTCTCTTCCTCCTCTGCAAATCCAAGGCTCAAGATTAAGCTCAAGATTTTAAAAACCACTTCATAACTAGAAGCAGCATTAATTGGTAGAATTGTACAAATAGAAAGGGGGCCAGAAGGATGGAGGGTGTGGGGAGACTATCTGGGCTGTGATGCAAGGCTGCCTTCCTCCTCCATCCCCCAGGCTTGTTCGAGCTTGGCTGCAAGTCCCAGCCAATGTATTTCTGGTTGGGACGGGAGCCAGGGGTCAGATAAAGTTCCAATGTATTTTGCAGCAGTCCTGACACTTTGCCCAGTGCTTTGGGCCTGTGGCAGCTGCCAGGGTGTGTTGAGAAAGCCAGGCCAGACAGAGCTAGTTTAAATGGGTTTGAGGGAGCAGGCAGTTGACTAACCAGACAGCTCAGTAACATTCAGCACAGTAACATCTTCATGGCCATGAAAGGCCCTGCGCTCCATTCCTAGGGAGCCACCAGCAGCCACCATGCTAATCTCCCCACAGCTCAGGGACCAAGATCTGTGCTCCCATACTATTATCTTTACTCAGACAAGTAAACAATCAACACAGCCAAGCACTTGACATGCATTATCTAATTTAACCCTCACAACAGCTCAATGAGGTAGGAACTGTTATTACCTCTCCTGGCCATGAACTAGATAATAGCTAACACAGACAGCTAACAAATACACGTACGTACGTCAGGCCTGCTTCTAAACACTTGCCATGCATGAACTAACTTACTAGGGAAACTGAGGCACAGGGGGACAAAGGCAGTGGCCAGGGCCAGGGGCACGGCCAGTAGGTGTGGACCTGAAACCACTGGAAACCGGGTGACTCCAGAATGGAGGTCCACCCCGGCACCTCCCCATGATTTTCCAGACGGGGAACCTGTTCTGAGACACGGGGGAAGAGGAGCCGGGGTGGGACTAAAGCGAGGGTGAAGGTTTGCATTCTGTCCCCTTCCCGACAAGCATAATGAGAGGCACCCGTGGGAATGGAGGCTCAGACATCTGACCCTGAGCCCGCTGCCGCTCTTCCTTCCTCTCCCCTGGCCCAGTTGGTCGGAATTGTGTTGTTCCGGGTCTCGTGGGAGCTGTGGGACAGACAGCAAGTGGGCAGGCGGGCAGGAGGCCTTTTGCTTACTCCAAGCTGCCTCTGACCCTTCTCAACTCCAAGGCATCCCGAGGGCATAGAAGCTGCCTTGTGTGCCTCCCATAGCGGGCGGAGGTTGCGTGTCCCAAATCTGGAAGTGAGCCAGCTGGGCCCAGCTTTGCACCAAGGCCAGGCTTCCTGTCACATTTTGGCTCTGCTGACAGCCCAAGGCCACCTGCAGTAATGTCACCTGGGAGGGGGAGCCGGGCTGCCTGGTGTCAGTGCCACGCTCATCATTGTTCATCATTGTCCTCGCCAGCTGTTTTCACCGGCCCGAGTGGACAAACACACACCCAGAAGAGCTGCTGTGCTCGTCCAGGCTGCCCTCAGCTCCCGCACTCAGCCTTTGGACTGGACTCTTTTTTAAAAAAAAAAATATTTTATTGATTTCTTACAGAGAGGAAGGGAGAGGGACAGAGAGTTAGAAACATCGATGAGAGAGAAACATCGACCAGCTGCCTCCTGCACACCCCCTACTGGGGATGTGCCTGCAACCAAGGTACATGCCCTTGACCGGAATCGAACCTGGGACCCTTCAGTCCGCAGGCCGACGCTCTAAGCACTGAGCCAAACCGGTTAGGGCTGGACTGGACTCTTGACGGCGCCCGGCGGCGTGCTCAGAAGCAGCGCCTCCAACACAGGGGCGGGTCCGAGAAGACTTCCGGAGGAGATGCTGCCTAATCCAGGTGCAGTTATGTAATAAACATGACACCGTCTGCATCCTCCTCCTCAGGGGTATTCAGGTTGCTGTGTACCCTCTCGAGCTTTGCTTATGTTGACACACATATCTATGCCTTTATCTACATACATGCCCAGCCCACTTCCCTGCTTGTTTAATTAGAAAGGGGCCAACTTTCTTCCTTCACTTCTCAAGGCATCAGGAACACTTTTTTTTTTTTTAGCAAGGCCTACAAGGAACTTGATCTAAGAACTTTATTATTATTTTATTGTTGAGAAAGAACACTTTTTCCTGAGCTGGGTATATGGAGATGAAGGAAATGCACATGGTCTCTCCCTCAGGCCTTCCAATCCTGGGAGAGACAAACTTCTCCCAAGATGCAGGAAGAGCTGAAGAGGCAAGGAACAAGGGCTAATAGGGCTCCTGCCTGGCTGCCCTGAAAAGACCTCTTCACTTACATGTAAGTGGAGAGCTGGATGGGAAGGAGCCTATCTTTCTCGGGGTGTAGGGAAAAGCATTCTGGGAAGAGGGAACGGCATGAGCAAGGACATGGAAGTGTGAATATTGTGCAGTGTGTTGGGGAAGACTCCTCCTAAGGCCACAGTGTGAGGGTGTGTTTGGGGGTGAGGCTAAAGAGGGAGGGTAGAATCAATGTTAGAAAGCCTCGACGGCCAAGCCAAGGGATTTGGACTTGATTCTATAGGCAACAGAGAACCACTCATTACACTCAGTCTCCACACGGAACATGGTGGCTCCAGCCTGGGAAGACGCAGGAGAAAATTAATGTTCGGGAGGAAGCTCTGTTTCAAGAAATGGAAGGTGTTTTCTTCCGCTTGCGAGAAGTTCAAGACCTGTCCTGAGCTTAGGGCTGCCCCCAAAGCGGAGTCCCTTATGACTGATTGCCTACAGAAATGCAGCCCAGAGTCAGGGGCTTAGCTCAAGGGGAACAGCGGGCCAGTAAGAGCTCCAGGACTGAATGAGTCTCCCGGCTCCTTACCTCACACAAGTTGCTGAAAAAATCGTAACGAGGTGGCCAGGAGTTTCCTGCCTTCTCGCTAAGCTGGCTTACTCAATTTCCCTCATTTGTCTGCTCTGAGCCGAGGGAGCAAAGGGCAACCATCAAAGGTGTCTGGGACGAGGCTCCGGCCACCGCCGGGTGAATGGGCCGTGGGGGACTCAGCCTGACCCGGGGAGGCAGAGAG